TATTTCAGTATTCTATTTTTCTCAAACACCGTAGACTCTTGTTGAACTCTCTAACCCTGAGTCTCTTGAGCACTTGTAACAGCTTCGATGTCAGTTATCATTTTTCCTTGGATCTTGTATTTCCAGCTTACCACAAACCGACCACCTCAGCTTTCTTCACAATTCAAAACAAAACATGTTAGAATGGACTCAGTCGGTCCTTATTATTATCAATATTTTTCATTATGTTTTTCATTTTTTTTTATTTTTCTTTTCAATGGTTGATCGAACCTGATGTGGGTTGTCTACGTATCATGTGGGAACATGAATAAGATCTTGCGTAGTTCGGGAAGATTAAGAATAAAGTAAATAAACTAACTCTTTTTTTTTATTTCCAAAGAAAGACTTATAAAGAAGAAAGAAAATATTTTTGGGATTTCGATTTGTTGTTTTTTTTTTCGAATTTCAAAAGTAAAACTTCTAAAGAAAAAAGAAAATATTTTTGAATTTTTATTTTGAATTTATGAAAGAAATGCTTCTAAAAAGGAAAGAAAATATTTTTGAATTTTTATTTTGAATTTATGAAAGAAATGCTTCTAAAAAGGAAAGAAAATATTTTTGAATTTTGAATTTTCTTTTCAATTTTGAAAGAAGAATGAAAATATTTTTGGATTTTTGGAAGTAATTAAAAGAAAATATTTTTGTATATTTTTAAAAAAAAATAAAATAATTAGGGTCTAAAAGAAAGGCTTTCTAAAGAAGCAAATAATGGAAAATATTTTTGAATTTTTTGAAAATTCGGGTCTAAAAAAAACTTTTCTAGAGAGGAAGTAAAGGAAAATACTTTTTGATTTTTTTGAAAATTATGGGCCGGAACCGATGAGGTTTGCCTACTTATCTCACATCCGGTGAGAATCAGACCCGCGTAGTACGTCGTTTTGACAGAACAAAAGAAAATATGACTTATTTTGAAATGACTTTCCTCTTTTTCTTCAAACTTTCAACAGAATTTGGGTAATTCAAATACTTACCTCTCACTCTCTTTTCTTTTCTCTTTTTTTTCTTTTTTTTTTATTTTCATTTTCTTTCCCTATTCTAGAAGCCAGCATGCAAGCCGAAATAGACAGATACGCAAGTAGCACGTAAGATGCATCAGGATGGTCTTTTTATTTCGGGTACACCTGTCCTAGACAGACCCGACCCTTGTGTTGAGTCTCTAAAGTCAAATGCACATGATGCAAACAAACGTTCCTATTAGGGATCTGGCATGAGGCTGAGTTATTCTTGGTTTAAAATCTGGGTATGTGTTCTAGACCGTGTACCCGAGCGGACAACTTGAGCCGAGGAGGGGGCTACGTACCGGGAACCAAAAGGCCATCCAGCTTAGTAACTTGTCCGAGCCTCTTTCTTATTTCAAGGTATGACACTAACAGAATAGGGAGTCTCGACCAGCGAGCACATACCCGAAGATGAGAAGAGAAGGGTTTCGTAGCAGTTTATATACAGTTCTGATAATATCAAAGCAGTAAAAGCCTCATTTAACACATTAGGCCCAAGCATGTAATAAAATCATATAACAGACAAAGCCAAATACAACAATTCATCTAAGCTTGAATTCTGAACCCTGAACCAGAGATTCTGGGTTTTAATCCCCAGCAGAGTCGCCAGAGCTGTCACACCTCCTTTTTCACCTACACCCCCGGAAGGGGAGTATAAGGGAGTTTTCCCAACTTAAAGTGACAATAGAAACAGGATTATTTTTATGTAAAATTCAGAGTCGCCACTTGGGATAATTTATGGTGTCCCACGTCACCGGTTCAAATCCCGAATCGAGGAAAAGATTGACTATGTATTACAGTCCGCGAATACAGAAATCCGGGTAAGGAATTCTGTTAACCCGGGAGAAGGTATTAGGCATTCCCGAGTTCCGTGGTTCTAGCACGGTCGCTCAACTGTTATAATTGGCCTATTATCTAATTTTAAACATGTTTTAACCTATGGTGCAATTTTAAACCTTTAACCGCTTTTATTCATTTTTAAAGAAAATTGCAACATCATTTAAAATATGTTTTGAACCACGTCACATAAATGCACCTGCGGTCCACGTCACATTTTATCTAACGTTGTTGAGATTTGGATTTGGGTCACATAAATGCACACCCAAGTTTAGGAAAGAAATCTAAATTACATGCCTAAAGAAACTAGGCTTTTTAATATTATTTCCTACATTTGAGATTAATGTGAGGCCATAAACTAGGAATTATTTGTGGGATAAGTATATGATTTTAGCTATTTGAAGTCGTAAGGGTCATTTACACTATGTAGTTTCCGTAAGACACTAATTTTGACAACTAAGTGAAGCACGCAAATAATTCACGTGAAGAAATAAACATGGATATGGCTAAACAATTAACAAAGCTTTTCAATGTTTGGCTAACAGTTCACATAGCCATTTTAATTATATACGTATATATTTTTCTTTAAAAAAAACTTTATATATTAAATTCAAAAGAAAGAAAACATGTACTTATTGAAAATCAAAGATAATAAAATAGTCTATATGAACTAAACATGGATATGCAAAATCGATAGCAACAAAAATTAGCTAAGAGATTACCACACCAATGCAATAGTACTGTAAATAAAACACTAGCAAACATAAGCTAACCTTTAAACGAACAGAAGCTTGGAAAATTGGCTAATATTGAATCTCTCTGAATACATCAAGGAGGAGAGTATCGATATAATTCGAACACTACCCGAATCATCAACCAAACGGAAACCTCGGACCGGGTTACCTCGACGACCTTGACGGACTGAGTTTAACTTAAGAGAACAACAACAGTTAGTGGGGATGGAGCTGCTGCATTTATAGTGAAAGAAAACTGGCCGGATATGGCGAAACTCCGGCGAAACGCCGGCAAGGCAGTGAATTAGCGGAACTGCATTTACAAGACTTCGAAACTGATTTCGGAAATGGAATTTGAGAAGCCGACCGCTGCTGCGTTTTGCTAGAACTGCTGACGCGTTTTCTGCAGTGTTTGAAGAGCTTTTTGAAGTTGGTTTCAATTGAGAACAAGCTACTGAAGATTGGTGAAATTTGGTGGTTATTTGGAGTTGGTTTTACGGGCAAGAGGGGCTGGTTTACAGGTATTTTGGAGGAGAAAGGAGCTGATTTTTGCGGCTAAAATTAAGCTAATCCCCAGGCCCTCTTTATCCCTCTGTTTCGTTCTTTTCTTCTTAGAGAAGATGATCTTTTCTAGATCTATTTTTCCTTTTCTTTTGTGCCCCCCAGATATATCCCCTCTTATGATTTTGTATGGAATATTTGGTAACTCTTCCTATGCCTCAGATCTGATCGATGGAGGGGAGGTTTGCCGTTGCTAGCTTAGAATCTAGGTATTGGAGATGAAAACTTGGGTAATGTTTCTACAATTGGATATTTTATAGGGAGGTAGAAATGGATGATGACCGTTAGATTAGAAGGAAAATAGATGGCTAGGATTAAATCTTGCACTTAAATGGGCAAAGAAGGATGTGCTAAGGGTAATTGGGTTGGACCATGTCTTTTATTTCAATTTTGGGCTAAGAAGACTCCAAAAATTATTATTTAAAACCATAGTTAAATTCCCTTAATATAAGATAACTATACTATATGATGCAAAAATAAATTCTAATTAATTAAACTAAACTATATTAAAACATGAAACTATTACATATTTTTTTTGTATTTTTCAAGATTATATAAAGTTAAAATTAAGGTACTATTTTTGTATTTTTTTTTACTTTATGAAAGGTACATAAAATAAAAATATTTTTGTAATTTTTCTTGTAATAAAATAAAGTAAAAGAGTAAGAATGAGTTGAAATAGCTATATTGAGCCTAAATTAAATATTTACGTGATAAAATATAGAAAATCTTGGGAAGAGTTAAAAATCACATGTCTACACTTGAATTTAAAATATAATCCAAATTATTTTACCGATTTAATTCCAATAAAATTTATATGCCTAGAACTTCTATGTGGTTTTTCACGGACCCAAGGAAGCTGAAAGATCCCTTCTGCTATTTTGCTAGAGAAGGGCCAGGAAAAAGTCAACGTACTGTATCTTCTAAGATTGAGCAAATCTTGAAAGTAGAGGTGATATCCATTCACATTCATAGCAAAACATAAGAAAATTTGGGCGATAAATGCAAAATTCATTTTTCCCTTTCTTATAGGAATAAATTGTTGAAACCTTTCATGGATGGTCATTCATTTTTTTTATTGTGCCAAAGTCACTTAACAATTTTTTTGTAAAGAAAATGTCCATCAACTTTACCTATGAAGGATGAATGTCACTAAATTACTTGTTGTAATAAAAAGTGACTCAACTTTGTCTAAATATAATAGAAACAGGAGCAAAGCGCCCATAAGAAGTACTTGTTCGGAAAAACCCAGCAATTTTAACCAAACCTTATATATTTGTTGAGAAATTCACTAAATATGTACATATTAAAACTCATAAACTTCAATTCAGAACTCATAAACTGTTAATCGTAACACCGCCTCTGAACAGAAAGTCACTAAAAGGAAACGAATGAGACATTCTCTGTGATACTTAGACAAAGTTGAACGACTTTTTTTATTCTTTAAAAATTGAACAGGGAAGAAAGAATCTGTTCATGTGCAAGAGGACCAAATTCAGAAGAAAAGATCACCTTTACAGCTAACAAAGGAACATGAACACCACATGCATTAAGCATCATTGCAAAACTAGAAACTGAAACACTTGCCTTTTCCTGATTCTGACCCCAGCTAATCAAAGACCAGGCAATATTCAATCCAGTCACGAGATGCAGAAAATTTTCATTTAATTCGCCACCACATTTCATAAAAAGAAAAAGTTTTCTCATAATCAAGTTTTGAACATTCTATTTAAAATCTATACAACTAAAAATCATCTTCAGAACAGGAGCTGCAGTTAATGTTTGCCAAGTATGTTTTACAAGAATCAAAATAGAGTATCCACTGATAGTATAAAGATCACAAGTTAGATACCATCTATTATAATTCCAAAGACAGAAGATTGATAAGCGATTTACAAACTTTTGCTTGGATAGAAACAAAGGGACAAGGTGTCATACAAAGTAAGAAAACTAAACCTATCTTACTGTAATGCAACACAAAGATATGGCAAGGGGAAACACAAAGATCCTCTTAAACCACTTGAAGAGATGGCATCGGCTTGCTTCTTAAAGCCGTCCATCCCATCACTAACAGAAAAAAAAACTCGTTAGGAATTATCACACTTCCTAAATTTACAATTAAGTGTCTCTATGCCGAAATCTCAGTCATTGCAACTGCAGATAGCTCTTGTGCAGCCGTTGTCGTCTGCCAGAGCTATGGGTGCTTGTTGTTGTAAATGGGTGAAGTGAAGTTCAATCTGAAGCCGATGATGAAGAGGTGATGTTATCAAACCTTTCTTGATATCGGCCTGCAGTTCCCTGATTGGTATTGCAGCCAAAAAACTCTTGATGTATTCTTTGCATGACTCTTTACCTTGACAGAGAATTTCTTCTGCACTTCCAGCCTTCACTGCTTCATCTGATTTGTTCACTGCTTCACTGTCTGGAGAACCAGCTTTGGAGTTTGTATGAGGAGCATCGCAAGGTTTTGGCTCCACTGTTGCAGCAATGATTTGCTGATCGGCAGCTGGCTTTTCTTCTGTTGAATGAGTAGTGCTTGGCTGTTTATATATGTTTGTATCCTTGTCAAACTTCAGTATATAAGCTTGATCGCAGCCCTCATAGAGTCTCTCACCTAAGGTGTCAATGATGTAATAAGCTTCTGCTTCAACCTTCAGGACAAAAAAATGGTCGTTCCAACTGACAATATAGATTTGTGGTTCACCAACAGAAGCATACTCTAATCCAGCATGGCTAATTTCATCCCAAATATTGTCAAAGGACATAGCACCATGCAAAAAATCAAATCCTCCCTCATCCATTCCATCAGGGTGGAAAAATCCAACAAATGACTTCCCTGGCACAACAGATATTGACCGAATTTTGGCTTGAAGGACCGTCTCCAGATCAAAGTGCTTGTCAGGGAACCGCTCCCTGTATGTTTCATTCTCACAAAGTTTCCTCCACTCTAATGAACCTTCTCTAATTAAGCTATCAAACTGTGACTTAATGGGCATGAGATCACGGTTGTTCTGCAACCAATCAGCAAGCACAGCAACAAGGGCTGTGCATGCACTTTCTCCAGCAGCTCGCTCACTTCGTTGGTCAATGGATGCAAAGAATACCTGAGTTTGAAGCTTCATGTGTCCATCTCGACTTACTATCTCTCTCTGTTCCCAAGAACCAACAGCAAAATTATCATCACCAAACTCAGATACTGAAGATCGATTTGCAGTCGAGTCTTCCTCTGCCTTGTGCCACTGCAATACAATATCAAAATTTACCTATCTCCAGAATAATCACAGTGATGTCACAAGAATGAACAGTGTGTCAAAGTATTAAGCTTCAGGCATCAATGAACAAGTGAATAACTGTTGTATAATGAATGACACATAAAAAGATTTTGCAGATAACAAAATGGCGAATTGGTACTTACAAAAAAATAATGAAATGGCCAATAGCAATACATTAGATAATTTGAGACAGCGTCGAGCATCAACATTGACTCATTAGATGTATAAGGTAAGAAAATTACTGTCTAAGTAATAGGTTATGAACACTAAATACTCTAATTTATTTGAAACAACAATGTAGCTTGTGGTGACCAGATATACTAAAGTGTTCTTCATGAATCAGTGCTTCAGCTTCAACTTTAACTAGATATATTACTAGAAAAAAGCATTATGCCTACCTTTCTACATGTCATTATCAAGCAAGGATGCTTTATGCAAAAGTCCAAGTAGTATGGGCAACACAATTAAAGTATAATATGAATCCAAAATGAGGCTTTTGGGTTCCAAGTACAGCACAAAATTACGAGGTGGAGCATCTGGCGAAAAAGAGACTAAGGATCTTACCCAAAATGACAAAGATTCGTCAGAACTGAGCTGCCGACGATCAAAGTCAATATCATCTCCACCTTCTTCTCCATAATCCTTCTTCAACAACGGTTCCCCCTTGGATTTAGGAGATCTAAAGCTCAGCTTCCTCTTCCTCCAAGGCAGGATACTACGCTTTGAATTCTGCAGAACTACAGGATCAGAAGCACAAGTGATCTGGTCGTCCATTTGCGAGCAGCCCACATCTGATCTGCGGTTGCTAAAGTAAACCCAATCCTCACCCGCAGTATTGTCGCTTGTAGTAGAATGAAAAGAAACTCCAGCACAATTCGCATAAGCCAATGGACCATAACTAAATGACTTCCTAACAGTAGGATCCTCCTTTCCCTCATCCGACTCTCCTTCTTCATATTCATCATGGGAGTCAGAATCAAAAGGATAAGCATACTCCCCCTCTTCGCTCCTAGCTGAGCATCTCCCTTCACTACCCTCTTCTTCTCGACAGGCTTTCTTTGCTCTCCGGGTTGATACATATTCTGTAAATATTTTAACCTTTCTGAGGCCAGCTTTAAGTGCAGAAAGCTCATCTTTTTCTGTCGGTGGATTTTCACCAGACCGTGTTGGAGATTGAACAGGAGCCAGTGGCCTCTGAACCAACTCTGTCAACTCTTGTGCAGCTCTTAGTTCGAACAAGCTAAGTGATATCTGCATGATATGTAGAGATCGAATCAAGTATGGGCAATAGGTCTTTGAGGACGGTAGCAGTAAGAATAACATGCTAAAAACTCAGAGGAACATACACAAAGTGTGGGCCGAGTCTCAGAAGCACCCCCTGGAACTGCCAGAGGAATGTTTAGTTTAAATTCTTTCTCCTCTGTCTTGGCAGCAAATTCAGCAACATTTAAGACAGCTGTACCTAGAACAGGTGCCTTATTCTTAGCATTCATACCCTGGAGCAGATAAAGAATCAGCACTCAGCGAATAACTAAAGAAAAAGTTGGTTATGCTAGCCATAAGAATCTAAAGTACACAAAAAAATCTCCATCTTTAACCAGCAAAACTACCTGTGAAAATCAAATAATATAAATTGAAGAACATGATAAGGAATGTGAACCTTACGACAAACTAAACCCCAAAAATTGAACCATAGATCAGTTCACGGATTAAGAAAATGAAATACTTACATAAATTTGAAAGAAGTTTGAGTATCCAAACCATATCCTTAAGAGTCAAAACTCGTTTTCATTGAAACGAACGGAAAAAACCCCTTCTGTTAGAAATATGAAAGAACCTTTCTGGGGAGGG